CTAGCAGGCAGGGCCCAGCAGGGCGTTCGAAGCCAGAGCGGCCGGCAGTAAATTGTAGCTTACGCAAGCCGAGTACACGGTTAGACTTGGTCCTGAAAGATTCAGGACCGTAACGCGTCCCTGAGGTAGCCGGACACCCGTTTCCAGGACGGGAGTGGCGAAATTCAACCAGTTTGCCGTTTGGTCCTGGAAACGGGTGTCATTGGCGACGTTTGTCACCCGTTTCCAGGACGGTTCGGAATGTTTGGGGCTCTCGGTCCTGGAAACGAGTCTCGGCGGGCCCAAGACGCCGAAGTAAGACCAGTTCGCACCTGGTAGCTTGCACACTGAACTACATTGTACCGCTGGGCAATGATGCGCCATTCCCGCAGTGCGTTTCATGGAAAAAATCGGCAGCAAAAAGTGGCAATACGAAAGTCTCAAGGAGACCCGCCGATCAGCTTCGGTGTTCTTATGGGAACCGGGCCTTCATCCGACGCATCCCTGCCGCGCAATTCGACAGATTAGTGGAGTTCGTATTGGGCTGGCCCACCCGAAGTGCGCGCGGTTTCTGTGGTACAGTGAGAGTCCAGATTCAGAGGCCTTACCTCAGAGGGGTCACATTGGGTATTTGAACCCGCGACCCCGAGTGCCGAGTCTAGTCAACTCCTCTACCCTGACCGCTCAGCCACCGAACCAGCTTGTCGGCGGCGATGTCGCAACTCCTCTTGAGCTGCCGTTCGAGAAATCTGGCCCCGAAAAAAGGGTACCTGGAGCGGTCTCGAACCCGGGACCTGCCGCTTCCCACAACATGCTCTTAACCACTGAGCTACCGGAGGACCATGGTGCTCGCTCTGCCGGCGCTGGTACTCAATCCTCTCCGGATAGACCTCCTCAAGAAGTTTGTTGCCGTTGCCGAAAAATTTGCTCAGGGCACTAGTCTCGAACCCGAGACCTGCCAGTCAGGAACGCAGCGTTCTAACCACTGCGCCACCAGTTTGCTATGAGCGCCGCCCTCCTAGCGCCGAACTTATAATTTGTCCAGCATCAAGCAAAGATGGGTGGCTATTCAAGTTTGGCGCTAGGTAGGTGGCGTGCATAGCAACCTGATGGCGCAGTGGTTAGAGTGCTCCGATCCTGACTGGCATGTCTCGGGTTCGAGACTAGTGCCATGAGCAAATTTTTCAGCAACGGCAACAAACTTCTTGAGGAGGTCTATCCGGAGAGGATTGAGTACCAGCGCCGGCAGAGCGAGCACCATGGTCCTCCGGTAGCTCAGTGGTTAAGAGCATGTTGTGGGAAGCGGCAGGTCCCGGGTTCGAGACCGCTCCAGGTACCCTTTTTTCGGGGCCAGATTTCTCGAACGGCAGCTCAAGAGGAGTTGCGACATCGCCGCCGACAAGCTGGTTCGGTGGCTGAGCGGTCAGGGTAGAGGAGTTGACTAGACTCGGCACTCGGGGTCGCGGGTTCAAATACCCAATGTGACCCCTCTGAGGTAAGGCCTCTGAATCTGGACTCTCACTGTACCACAGAAACCGCGCGCACTTCGGGTGGGCCAGCCCAATACGAACTCCACTAATCTGTCGAATTGCGCGGCAGGGATGCGTCGGATGAAGGCCCGGTTCCCATAAGAACACCGAAGCTGATCGGCGGGTCTCCTTGAGACTTTCGTATTGCCACTTTTTGCTGCCGATTTTTTCCATGAAACGCACTGCGGGAATGGCGCATCATTGCCCAGCGGTACAATGTAGTTCAGTGTGCAAGCTACCAGGTGCGAACTGGTCTTACTTCGGCGTCTTGGGCCCGCCGAGACTCGTTTCCAGGACCGAGAGCCCCAAACATTCCGAACCGTCCTGGAAACGGGTGACAAACGTCGCCAATGACACCCGTTTCCAGGACCAAACGGCAAACTGGTTGAATTTCGCCACTCCCGTCCTGGAAACGGGTGTCCGGCTACCTCAGGGACGCGTTACGGTCCTGAATCTTTCAGGACCAAGTCTAACCGTGTAGCAAGCAGCGCGCGGTCCTGTTGTGCCCTACACTGTAACAGAGGCCCGTTTGGCACCGGCCGCGCGTCCAGCGCCTCCAGCGGCGCTGCTGCAATCAGGCTCGGCTCCAGGCAGAGCATGCAAACTCGAGGATGAGCTCCAGTGATGGACATCTCCCTGTCCCCCTGGCCTTCCGCCTGCCCGCCCCTCTCCAGGCCCCTCCAGGCTCCTCCAGGCCTCTCCAGGCCTCTCCAAGCCCCTCCAGGCCTCTCCAGGCCTCTCCAGGCCCCTCCAGGCCCCTCCAGGCAGGGCCGCTGGCCACCGCCTCTCTGTCTGCCCGGCCCTCTGGGTGGCACGCTGGAATGCCTGGAATATCCAGCGAGACATGGACGGCGTCAAGCGAGCCGCCTGCCTGCCTGCCTGCCTGCCTGCCTGCCTGCCTGCCTGCCAGCCTGCCTGCCTGCCTGCCTGCCTGCCTGCCTGCCTGCCTGCCTGCCTGCCTGCCTGCCTGCCTGCCTGCCTGCCTGCCTGCCTGCCTGCCTGCCTGCCTGCCTGCCTGCCTGCCTGCCTGCCTGCCTGCCTGCCTGCCTGCCTGCCTGCCTGCCTGCCTGCCTGCCCGCCCGCCTGCCTGCCTGCCTGCCTGCCTGCCTGCCTGCCTGCCTGCCTGCCCGCCTGCCTGCCTGCCTGCCTGCCTGCCTGCCTGCCTGCCTGCCTGCCTGCCTGCCTGCCTGCCTGCCTGCCTGCCTGCCTGCCTGCCTGCCTGCCTGCCTGCCTGCCTGCCTGCCTGCCTGCCTGCCTGCCTGCCGACATGGACGACATGCAGTGACGGAGTCCCAGCTTTTGCAGTGCAGTGCCGGTTTCAAAGTGCTGGCTGTACTTCACACGCAGTAAACAGTGGAATCCGACTGGTTTCATGAACTTTATCCCGATTCGGATTCTAAAACACGTTCTGGTGCAAACTACGTGATGCAGTTGACGCACTCGATGTCATTGACGTGGATGACGTACTCGTTGACAATGATTGACTGCAGCTTGCGCACTCTTTCCCCGGCAATAATTGCACATTTCGCCCCCAGTAAACGCCTTCCCGCCAAGGTGAGCAGGCGTAGCCCCCCGGGGAGGTCCCCCTAATCAAAAACCATCAAGCAACAGTAGTAAAATGGAACCGTGTCATTTGTTTGGCCGCCAGCGGCGCCTGGCATAGTTTTGGCCCGGCAGATTGGTATCACTGAATTTATTGTCATCCGAATGTGTGCCGGCGACTCGCACACTCGCGCCCACGCGCGGCAGCACCTTATCGCACGGTGTAGAGGGCGTGGGCGTGATGGGCTTGGCCAGGCTTGGCAGCAGAGGACGCGAAGCAGAGGGCACTTGGCCATTGTGTGTGGGAGGGGAAGGGGGGGAGGGGGGAAGGAATCCCATAGCCTATGGAGTGTTTGGCGCGTCGCGAAGATCCTTTCATTCCCCACACGTCCCAACCGACTCCCCCCCCCCCTCCCCCACCCCCGTTCCTTGAACAACGTCCTCGATAATTCTGTCACGGACACGAACGCGGCGAACGCAGCGAACGCAGCGAAATGGGGAAACAACAAGGCACGGCTACTGCACTGCCATGTCGCTGGCTGGCATGGCTACCATGCGGTGCAAGGTGCAGCAAGGTGGAGCAAGGCGCAGCCACGACGAATGGCGCCTGGCCTTGGTGACGGCGGTGCATGTGCATGGCATGTTGTCTCGTACCGCTTGCTTTGCCGGCTTTGCCCCCCTGGCTTGCCGGGCTTGCCTCGCACTCCGCCGCCGCCGTGGACGGACGACGTCGTGTGAACACACGTCGGGGAACACGCCGCCCGGCCGTCTCGTCGCCGTTCGTCTTTTTCTTTTCAGTTTGCAAAAAAAAAAAAAAAAAAAAAAATTGGCAAGAGGCAAACAAATTCAACAGAAAAAGAATGAAAAGTGTTTGTTTGAAGTATGTGGATTTTGACTGGGGACATAGGATTTCCGACTGACGTCTTAAAAATATTACCTGAGGTCCTTGGAGCTCTTGAAAAAACATTTGAGGATTTTGATAACATTTCTGAAGAACAATTTTTGATTCTCTATTTTTTTTCTCTCTCCCAGTTTTGACTGATAGCCTTCGAAGCGAGCAGTGAACGGTGGCCGCGCCGCGTCGTCAGAATAATGTTGACTGCGTCGCGGGCAGCGGGTAGTCGTTGTTCCGCCATTGTTCACGCAAAACGCCGCTGGAGCTGCTTTGCTTGTCGTGGTGTTCTGTCCGTGGTGCTGCCCATGGTGCTGCCCATGGTGCTGCCCATGGTGCTGCCCATGGTTATGTCGTCCGTCCGGCGCTGGGAGCCGCGCGTCGCGCCTTTTGTCGCGAACCGTCTTCTTGTCGTCGGTCTGTCTGTCAGCCTGTCCCTTTGCCTGTCCGTCCATCTGTTGGCCATATTTCTAGTGCGGCCCGTCCGCGCGCGTGTCTGTCGCGCCGCTCCTCTTGACGGACTCCTCGTCCTTGGCGGGGACGTGGACGTGACCAGGATACCGCGTGCCGTCCGCGCTGTTTGGCGCCGTTCGCCTTGGCGGCGTTGCACAGTGGGCCAGAAGATCGGCGTCGGCGGCCGAAACTCTAAACGCGTTTCGAGCTCCAGAGTCGCTAAACGGGACTCGAACCGAACGTGTGACCCCACCAATGGATTCCTCGTTCGGAGAGCAATCCATTGGTGGGGTCACACGTTCGGTTCGAGTCTCATTTAGCGACTCTGGAGCTCAAAACGCGTCTGGAGTTTTGGCCGCCTCCACCGGCCTTCTGGCCCACGGTGCGTTGTGTCGCCTAGAAGGACGTCCAGAGCGTGTTGGAGGTGCGAGGGCGCGCCGTGACTGCGGCGTTACCACGTGCTGGCTGGCTGGCTTTCATCGGCACGCAACGCCTTTTCGTGATTCGCACTTCCGCGAAACGCTTCCGTGAAAGAAGGCGCTGTTGTCGGGAGTATACTTTTGTTGGTTTATGGTTTTAACGGTGTCGTTTCTCGTGTCTTGCAGCCGGGCCATGGACGACAACACGTCCATCGTGCTGGCGCTGCAGCTGCTGGCGCTGTGCTGCATCGCCTGCGCCCTGCTGCTCTACCTGCTGAGGAGGATTCGGCCGCAGCCCGCCAGCCTGCAGACCAAGGAGGTACGGGTTGATGGTTCAAATCCAACTGGAGGTTTTTTTTCTTAGTCTTAGTTTTTGTACCACCAGTGTCTTAAATAATTTTCGTTGTTGTTTTTGAAAAGGAATTGACGCAATTTGAATGAAAACGGAAGTGGACCGACGGGGGCGCGAACCCGCGTCCCCCGGGTGCGCGTGCCGCGTCGTAGATCGCTCGGCTAATGCGTGGTGCATGCATGCTGCGTGCGTGTTGCAGGCGCTGCACGCCGATCCCGAGGACGTGCTGACGGGGCGCGCGGCGGGCCGCTCCGTGCTCATCACGTGCTGCGACACGGCCCTGGGCCTGCAGCTCGCCATGCACCTCAGCAACGTGGGCTTCCGCGTGTTCGCTGGGCTGCGCGCCGCCGACTCCGAGAAGGACGGCGGCCAGGACGCCGCAGGTACGTACGGCCGGGACGAGGACCAGGATCTGGTGGCCGGAAGAACGGTGGAGGCGGCCACAATTCTAGACGCGTTTTGAGCTCCAGAGTCGCTGAACCGGACTCGAACCGAGCGTGTGACCCCACCAATGGATTCCTCGTTCGGGGAGCAATCCGTTGGTGGGGTCACACGTCCGGTTCGAGTCCCATTTACCGACTCTGGAGTTCAAAATGCGTTTAGAATCTTGGGCCGCCTCCCTCCGTGGTTGAGGGCGCCTGCCGGGTAGGCAGACCCGCGATGCACGAGTGTCTTGCGGGCGGGATAGGCGCTCCGAGCCCCTGCGAAGAGAGAGGTGGGCAGACCCGCGAGACATGCGTGTCTTGCGGGCTGGATAGGCGCTCCGAGCCCCTGCGGAGCATGGGGTAGGCAGACCCGCGAGACATGCGTGTCTTGCGGGCCGGCCCACCCAACAGGCGCTCCGAGCCCCTGCGGAGCATGGGGTAGGCAGACCCGCGAGACATGCGTGTCTTGCGGGCCGGCCCACCCAACAGGCGCTCCGAGCCCCTGCGGAGCATGGGGTAGGCAGACCCGCGAGACATGCGTGTCTTGCGGGCTGGCCCACCCAACAGGCGCTCCGAGCCCCTGCGGAGCATGGGGTAGGCAGACCCGCGAGACATGCGTGTCTTGCGGGCCGGCCCACCCAACAGGCGCTCCGAGCCCCTGCGGAGCATGGGGTAGGCAGACCCGCGAGACATGCGTGTCTTGCGGGCTGGCCCACCCAACAGGCGCTCCGAGCCCCTGCGGAGCATGGGGTAGGCAGACCCGCGAGACATGCGTGTCTTGCGGGCTGGATAGGCGCTCCGAGCCCCTGCGGAGCATGGGGTAGGCAGACCCGCGAGACATGCGTGTCTTGCGGGCTGGCCCACCCAACAGGCGCTCCGAGCCCCTGCGGAGCATGGGGTAGGCAGACCCGCGAGACATGCGTGTCTTGCGGGCTGGCCCACCCAACAGGCGCTCCGAGCCCCTGCGGAGCATGGGGTAGGCAGACCCGCAAGGCACCCGTCAGGCGCTCCGAGATCCAGAGTCACTAAATGGGACTCGAACCGAGCGTGTGACCCCACCAATGGATTCCTCGTTCAGAGAGCAATCCATTGGTGGGGTCACACGTTCGGTTCGAGCCCCATTTAGTGACTAGGAGGTCAAAACACGTCGAGTTTTGGCTGGCCGCCTCCAGCGGTCTTGTGGCCCACTGTGCATGGATGAGGTGTTCCACGGCGGGGCGGGGCGGGGCGGGGCGGCAGGGCGCGTCGGCCGGTACCGTTGCGACGCCTCTGCGGCGGCGTCGCCTCGGAGGTGCGACGCCCCGGATGGTTATTCGGCGTTTGAGACGGAGCGCGGCTGCGGCACACTCGGCTCGGTCGCCCTGTGCGTGTAACGGGCGGAGGAATTGGGCGGCTCGGCTCGGCTCTGCTCGGCTCGGCTCTGCTCGGCTCGGCTCGGTTCGGTCGACGCGGCGTGCTCGGCTCGCCTCGTATTGGATCGGGATCAGTGGCACACAGCGGGTGCCGCCTCGCCGCGGTTTGGTGCTGCTCTTCGCTGCGCCGCTGCGCCGCTGTGCCCCTGCGGCGCACTTTGCGGTTCTCACGCCGCACGCGCCACTGTAAAGCCAAGCCACTGCAAGCCGCGCGGCTGTAAGTGGACAAGTGCCGCCGATGCGTGTTGCGGTGCGGTCGGACGTCCGCGTCTCCGCGTCCGCAGGTCGAGGGGCCGAGGCTCGCATCACTACATTGCAAGAACAAGAACGACTGCCAGTCTGTTTTCCCGCCCTATCTGGGGTGGAGAGGCGGTGGCGGTGTCCGTTTCGGATTAGTTATTTAATTTTGCGACGAAGTTTCGCCGCGCGGCGGATGACCGTCCGCGTCCACAGGCCGAGGGCTGAGGCTCGTATCACTACACTGCGAGGAACGGAACTACTGCCCGTCTTTTTTCCCGCCCTATCTGGGCTAGAGAGGCGGTGTCCGTTTCGGATGAGTTATTTCACTTTTGGGATAAAGTTTCGCCGCGCGGCGGACGACTGCCCGCCAAGTCAATAAAGCGCACGGATAAATGAGTAAAAGTTGTCATGAAAAAAGTGAAGTCCTTGCGATGTGGCTCACCTTGTGGCGGCGCGCGAAGCTCTGTGCGCGCGTGTGCGTGAGCGTGTGTGTGCGCGGGCCGCTGGGTATTGGCCTGGTTGCCGTGGAGGAGCTCGACGCAGCCTCCCGTAGCCAGTCCCTCGGCCCACTTGGCCTGGACCAGGCCTGCCCCAGGCATTTAGGCCCCGCGCCCCGCCCCGCCCCGCCACGCCACGCCCCGCCTCGCTCCGCCCACCCCGCCCCGCCCCGCCCCGCCCCGCCCCACCCCGCCCCGCCCCGCCACGCCCCGCCTCGCTCCGCCCACCCCGCCCCACTAACCGGCAGGGGGGCGCGGCCCCCTTGGCCCCCCTGGCCCCGCCCCCGCCGCCCCACAGCTATATGGGACACAATTGCGCGCGTAGCACGACTCCGGCCTCGCGCGACGACGCAGGCAATGCGGCGCAGAGTAAAAGTCACTTGCCGCGAAGGATTGCCCCCCGCGGAGCCGAACGGGCTCACACACACGCGCGCGCGCGCGCGCGCACACACACACACACACACACACACACACACACACGCATACACACAGGGAGAGAGAGAGAGAGAGAGAGAGAGAGAGAGAGGGGAATGCACACAGACGCTTTTCCGGCCGGGTAGTGCCCAGGCGTAGCGAAGTGTGGCCCTGCCGTCTGCTCTGATAAGCAAGCGAAGAGGCGAGTAATTGTGAAGCCGATAATGGCAGAAACGGAAGCTATTTTTTGTTGTTTTTTTTTTCTTTCTCACCACGAGGCGGCGCCGGCAGAAGGTTTTATGTCCCTTTATCGCGAAGGGCGTGCCAGCACACAGTGTAATGAAAGATCGAAAAGTGGGAAAAAAATATTTTATTGTTCTAACTGACTTAACTTAATGCAGAAAGACGCATTCTGGTAGGAAAAGTGCCACAGGACCATCCAAGCGTCACAGAGACGCCATTTTTGAGAAAAAAGTGGTAAAAATGCCGTATTTTTAGTTCTTGACACCCACGGCTTCTGCTGTTTAGCGTATCCGCAACTTTTCTCGACGCCAACTAGTTAAAGGGTACTAGGACAAAACTTGATAACATTTGGAGCGTTGAACTAGGTGGGGAACTCGAGATATTTCGCCTCAAAGTTTACAAATATTTGAAAAATCTACCAAAAATGCCATTTACTGACACTTTTAAAGGCTTGGCTTCGGCTCTATGGTGAATCCGCAACTTTTCTCCACGCCAACTAGTAGAGGGGTACTAGGACAACACTTTATAGCATTTAGAGCATTGAGCTAGGTGGGGAACTCGAGATATTTCGCCTCAAAGTTTACAAATTTCCTAAAAATCTTCCAAAACTGCCATTTTTTGACTTTTTTGAAACCCTGGCTTCGGCTCTATGGTGAATCCGCAACCTTTCTCGACGCCAACTAGTTAAGGGGTACTAGGACAAGACTTGGGAACATTTGGAGCATTGAGCTAGGTGGGGAACTCGAGATATTTCGCCTCAAAGTTTACAAATGTCCCAAAAATCTACCAAAAATGCCATTTTCTGACCGTTTTGAAAGCTTGGCTTCGGCTCTATGGCGAATCCGCAACTTTTCTCGACGCCATCCAGTAAAGGGGTACTAGGACAACACTTGATTACGTTTGGAGCACTGAGCTAGGTGGGGAACTCAAGGTATTTCGCCTCAAAGTTTACAAATGTCAGAAAAATCTACCAAAAATGCCGTTTTCGAACATTTTTGAAGCCCTGGCTTGGGCTCAATGGTGAATCCGCAACTTTTCTCGACGCCAAGTAGTTGAGGGGCACTAGAACAACAGTTGAGATCATTTGGAGCATTGAGCTAGGTGGGGAACTCGAGATATTTCGCCTCAAAGTTTCAAAATTTTCTAAAACCTACCAAAAATGCCATTTTATGACCTTTTTGAAGCCCTGGCTTCGGCTCTATGGCGAATCCGCAACTTTTCTTGACGCTTACTAGTTGAGGGGTACTAGAACAACACTTGAGATCATTTTGAGCATTGAACTAGGTGGGGAACTCGAGATATTTTGCCTCGAAGTTTAAAAAGTTTCAAAAAACTTACCAAAAATGCCATTTTCTGACCTTTTTGAAGCCCTGACTTCGGCTCAATGGTGAATCCGCAACTTTTCTCGACACCAAGTAGTTAAGGGGTACTAGAAGAACACTTGAGATCAGTGTGAGCATTGATTTAGGTGGGGAACTCAGGATATTTCGCCTCAAAGTTTAAAAATGTTTTAAAAACCTACCAAAAATGCCATTTTCTGACCTTTTAAAAGCCCTGGCTTCGGCCCCATGGCGAATCCGCAACTTTTTTCGACGCCAACCAGTTTAAGGGTACTAGAACAACACTTGAGATCATTTGGAGCATTGTGCTAGGTGGGGAACTCGAGAGATTTCGCCTCAAAGTTAACCAGTGTCTAAAAAAATCTACCAAAAATGCCAGTGTCTGACCTTTTTGTAGGCTTGGCTACTGCTCTAGGCGAAATATCTCGAGTTCCCCACCCAGCTCAATGCTCCAAATGATCTAGAGTCTTGTCGTAGTAGCGCTTAACTAGTGAGCGTCGAGAAAAGTTGCGGATTCACCTTAGAGCCGAAGCCAGGGCTACAAAAAGGTCAGAAAATAGCAGGTTTTTAGAAAAAAAAATTAACTTTGAGGCGTAATATCTCGAGTTCCCCACCTAGCTCAATGCTCTGAATGTTATCAAGCGTTGTCCTAGTACCCCTTTACTATTTGGCGTAGAGAAAAGTTGCGGATTCACCACAGCCGAAGACAAGCCTTCAAACAGGTCAGAAAATGGCATTTTTGGTAGATTTTTTAGGAAATTAGTTAACTTTGAGGCGAAATATCTCAAGTTCCCCACCTAGATCAATGCTCC